GCTCACGGAGGATCGGCTCACGGAGGATCGGATTTAGCACAAGATTATTGTGCTAAAATCATTTCACTAGATGTTTTGAAGCTAAAGTATCCTAAATATGAAGCTATGATAGTTAGAATTCCCATCAGGAAAATTAATATCTTCAAACATTTCAAATTTGGTTGGAAAAAACTGCAGAGGTGATAATCAAGAAAGAAATTTATTGCTCTGAAACTGATTCTTTGAAAAGGAGAGAGTACTTAGATTCCTTACATTTTAGCTCATTAGACATCAGGTCAATAGCAAGGATAAATTTTCACTGTCATAATTCTTAATTATTTGGATGGCTTAATTTGTTATGTTATAAATGCTCTTCACCGTGCTTTTTTAGAAAGGGTGAAATTATTTATTTATCTTGCTCTATCTCTAAAGTTGAAAATGTTACATTTTCCTGTGCACCGCTTGGAGAGTCCAAGCAATGGGTTCCTGGGACTGAGGAAACTTTTCCTGATCATGCCTCCTGGTGTGGCCACTCCCCAGAATTTTTCCTCAGTCTGGATTTTCCTCTACTAGGGGCGGTGGGTCTGGCAAGGGCGGTGCAGGTACCATGGGCAAACATCCCCCTAGGGCCCCATCCGTTGCTGAGGTCAAGGACGCTGAAAGGCGCCAACGGGCTCCTGACAAGCAGTTTGAGAAGGCCTGGCGCCAGGCTGCGAAGGAGCTCCCTGAGTACAATCCTTCTGGGGACTCCTTTGTCCTTCTCCTCCCACGGGGAGATCCTCTGGCCTTGATGGCTGAAGAGGTGGAGTCTCAAGATCTGTCCCCTGATAGGTCGCTGGTGGAACCAGCTTCTCCAGCTCCGTCTTGGGCTTACAAGCAGGGTCCCATCCCTGAGGATCCCATCCCGAAGGATTTGCCCGAGGCTGTTCCTACTCACCTGGAGGGGTCCATTGTTCAGGACCCTGAGTCCAACCAGGAGCCAGAACTATCTGCCCGCATGCAGGCCGTGGTAGCCCGTGCCATTGCCAAGGGCATTGCGGAGGGCATGCAGAAACGTGATCAGACCTCAGTTACTCCCAGCTCCTCCCAGCCCAGTCAGGGTGCTCATCCCCCTGCTAAGCAGGTCCGTCACCCCTCATTAGAATCCTCTGTGGTCAGCGAGGTCTCCGCCCTTGAGGATCCTGACCAGGAAGGACAGGAGCTCTCGGAGGATCTCCCGCCCGATGCTCCTGCCTTCAGGGCTCTTCAAGCCCAGCCTTTTTAAATCTATACTTCATAAGGTTAAGGCTGTTACCAGGGTTGGGATCAAACCCAAGCCCGCACAGACCCCAACTGACTCAGTTCCGGTCAATCCTAATGCAGCCATGTTCGATGTTCCTGCTCCTCAGCAAGAACTGGTGCTGGTCCCTGGGTTATTCTTAGAGCTTATCCAACGCCAGTGGACCCAACCAGCCACGCTGTCCTCTCCCAGCGGAACGGACAAGAAACTGTACACTATGGAACCCGCCCTGGAGGACATCCTGGTCCTTCTAGCCGTGGATCCTCCCATAGCGGCCCTTACCTCCAATTCTTCCCTCCCCGCAGATGTGTTGGAGGGCCTTAAGGCGGAAGATAAGAAGGCGGAAAAGGCTTGCCACAAGACTCACCTTGCGGCCATTAAGGCGTCTTCTTCCGCATCCTTTTTCAATAGGGCCTCCGTAATTTGGCTGCGTGAGCTGTTGACCAAGCTCCCGGCGGGGGATGTGCACCTCCGCCAGGACATATCCAAGATTATTGTGGCTTCCCAGTACGCAGTTGATGCATCCTTCAATGCCACCAAATTCGAATCCAGGGCCCTGGCATCCAATGTTACATCCCGCTGCCTGATTTGGCTTCGCCATTGGCAGGCGGATCAGAAGAATAAATGGAAATTGGCTTCTGCCCCCTTTAAGAGGTCCAAATTGTTTGGGGAGGTTCTGGATCCTTTCCTCATTGAGTTGAAAGATAAGAGGAAGGTTCTGCCATCGCTAACCAAGAAGCAGGACCGTAAGTCCGCTCCTTATCCCAGAAGGCAGTCCTTTCGTCTCTCAGAGCCCTTCACCTCCTCCTCCTTCATTTCCCCCAACAGACCATCCGGCCAATCGGGGGATAGGGCACAGGACAGACCCTCCTTTCAGGACAGGGGTAGGCAACAGTTTGGCTTCCGCAAGTACAACTGTGGTGGGGCCTCTAACCGGCCCTTCCGCAAGTCCAAGTGACTGCCCGAACACATCGCCCATAGGGGGTTGGCTCCACTTGTTTATCTCCCTTTGGGTCAAGACCAAGGAGGACGCCTGGGTCCTCCAGATTGTCAAGGAGGGCCTCTCCCTAGAGTTCCTGTCCCCTCCACCTCGGAATTTCATCCGGTGCCCCACTCCCTCCTGTCCCCTCAAGAGGGAGCTCATGAACCAGGAGATCCTTTATCTCCTGAGATAAATGAGATAAGAGCAGGTGCCCCCCGACCAGGAGGGGGTTCTACTCCATCCTTTTCCTGGTACCAAAGAACTCGGGGTGGTGGTGGAGTGCCATCTCGGACTTCAATAACCTAACAGGCACATCGCCTATCGGAGGTTCAAGATGCAGCCCCTCCAGTCCATCCTGGCGGGGATCTGCCAGGGAGACCTCCTCAGCTCTATCAACCTAAAGGAGGCCTATCTGCACATCCCCATCCGTCCTCAGCACAGAAGGTTCCTGCGCTTCTTCTATGCCAGCCGACACTTCCAATACAGGGCCTTCCCATTTGGCCTGTCGTCGACACCCAGGACCTTCACGAAAATCCTGGCGGTGGTAGCGGCCCAGCTCAGGCGCAGGTCGTCCAGGCAGCAGTCCTTGCAGGAATTTGGGGGCACTATGAGGACCCTCAGGAGTCACGGGTTCTCCTTAAATCTGGAAAAAAGCCACCTTACTCCTACCACCAGACTCAATCACCTGGGGGCGGTGATAGATACCTCATTATGCAGGGTGTTCCTCTTCCAAGACAGGTTAGAGGGCCTGGTGTCCATGACCCACAAGGTAATGCATGCGAGGCAGGTTCCAGTGACCGTTCTGTCGCAGCTGTTGGGGAAAATGATCTCATGCACCTCGATCATTCCCTGGGCCCGACTCCATTCCAGGGCATTACAATGGCTCCTCCTGCCCCACCAGAGAGCCAGTAGGGGCAACTCACCCATGCTGGTACGCGTGCCCCCTTCGGTGAAGAGATCCCTCCGATGGTGGAAGTCATCAGTGTTTCTCAAAGGCCATCTCTTCAAGGAGCCCGACCGGTTGTTCATCACCACGGACGCCAGCCTCGCCGGCTGGGGGACACACATGGGTCATTTCATGGTTCAAGGCAAGTGGTCCCCAACAGAGACAACCTGGAACTGCGGGCTGCGAGGTTGGCCATATGACACTTCCACTAGTCCATCCGCCATCATCACGTGCTATTGATGATAGACAATGTGGCCACCAAGGCGCACATCAAC